GCTATGAGTCGGTTCTGACTCGATGGCACCTGACAACAACAACACACTGCAAGTGCTGTCAAATCAGTTCCCGCTCATGGCGACCCCATGCACAACAGAGTGAAACACTGTGCCTTCCTCACAATTGTTGTTATATTTGAGTCCACTGTTGCAGCCACTGTATCAATCCATCTCATGGGGTGGGGGTGGGGGGGCTCTTTTTCACTGACCTTGTAACATACCAAACATGATGTCCTTTTCTGGGATCTGGTCCCTCCTGACAACATGTCCAAAGTATGAAAGTCTTATCATCCTTGTCTCTAAGAGGAGATTTTGGGCATAATTCTTCCAAGACAAATTTGTTCATTCTTCAAGCAGCCCATGGCACTTTTCAGTTATCTTCACCAACACCCTAATTCAAATATGTCAATTGTTCTCTTGTCTTCCTCATTCATTGCCCAATTTTCACAAGCATATGAGGTTATTGAAAAGACCATGGCTTGAGTCACACACACCTTAGTCCTCAAAGTGACATCTTTGCTCTTTAGCACTTTAAAGAGAGGTCTTATGCAGCAGATTTGTTCAATACAATATGCCCTTTGATTTCTTGACTGCTTTTTCCATGAGCATTGATTGTGGATCCAAATAAAATGAAATCCTTGACAACTTCAGTCTTTTTTCCATTGATCATGATGCTTATTAGTTCATTTGTGAGGACTTTTGTTTTTTTACATTAAGCTGTAATCCATACTGAAGGGCGCATTCTTTCATTATCAGTAAGTGCTTCAAGTCCTCATGGCTTTCAGTAAGCCAGGTTAAGTCATCTGCATATTTTGCCTTGTGAATGAGTCTTCCTCCAATCCCGATGCTGCATTCTTCTTATAATTTAGCTCCTCGGAGTACTTGCCCAACATAAAGATGGAATAAGTCTGGTGAAAGGATACAACCCTGCCACCTTTCCTGATTTAAAACCATTCAGAATCCCCTTGTTCTGTTTGAACAACTGCCCCTTTGTCTATGTACATATAATGAGTTGACTTTATTTCATGTTTTTATTCTGACTTTATTTCATGTTTATTGTAAGGTTAGGATTATTTGGCCATGAAATGTTGGATAGAATTCACTTGTTAAACTCTCTGGGCCAGTCCACTCCAAGGGAGAATTAGGTTGAACCACCAGCGGATTCCTTGGTCCTTGTCCACAGATCCCACCAGGGCTGGCTCTTGCCTCCTCCTCGGCAGTTAGCCCTCCGAGTCACCCTACCTCCTCACACCTGCCCCAGGATGGGTGGCCCTCCTACCCCCAAGGGCTTCCACACGCCTTTGTTTTGCTTGTCCGCAGAGTGTATCAAACCCTGGCTCCTAGTCTGAAGGAGGAGCAACCATTTTGTCCTAAAACTGTCCTGTCTCCCAACCTCGCAGCTTTCTCTGGCCTCTTGTGGCCTGTTAGCGCCTCAGATCCCACCGTTCACTGTCTCCTTACTCCTGTCACTGGTACCAGGCTTTGTCAAGAGCGTGATGCGTCCTGCTCACCACCTACTTACCCGTGCCCACAGCCTGGCCTGTCCGGAGCATGCGGTAACACAACTAAGTAAGGAGGTGGTGGGCCACCAGCTCCGCTGGCCACTCTCTGTGCCCACCCTCGTGCTCCTCCAAACCCTACCATTTTGCTTCAGAGAGGAGCTCTGCTGCGCTATGTGCTGAAAAGGCCATTGAGGCACCTGATGGAATGCGGGTCTGCTCTGGCTCACACAGGGGCACCATGACAGCAACGGAATGGGTTTTGAAAGTGGTTTATAGATGTATGGTTGTTGTTGTTGGTGGTGATGTGCCATGGAGTCGGTTCTGACTCATGGCGACCCTGCATAGGGTTTCCAAGGCTGTAAATCTTTATGGGAGCAGAAAGCCTCATCTTTCTCCTGCAGAACAGCTGGTAGTTTCCAACTGCTGACCTTGAGGTTAGCAGCCAACTCATAACCACTACACTACCAGAGCTCCTTAGATGTACAGTTAGTGCAAGATTTTAAAAAAAATTGGTAAAATCACCAAGGAAAAGCAGATCGAGCCAATGGTAGGGTCCAGGTACACATGTCCCCCCGGGAAGTCCTTTTAGAGTGGCTAATGGTGTGCCCACCTGGAGTGGAGACCCCGTGGAGCTGCACAGAGCCTGAATCCACACGCCACCACTTCCCACAGGGGACTTGCGCTGCCCCAGTCTCCTCATCTGGGAGGTGGAGGACAATGGCACTGACCTCATCTGGTACCTGTGAGGATGTGGTGAGGTGGGGTTTGTGAAGACTCAGCACAGATCAGGTGCTCAATATGCATTAACCATGTCCCAGTGTGGCGCTCTGGGATCAAGCCCTGGACCACAGGTTGATGGTTCAATCCCAGCAACCACTCCTCGGAAACCCTAAAATGTCACTGTAAGTAGAAACCAACTTGGCGGCACCTGACAACAACATAATTGTGGTGTGGTGCTGTCAGGTAAGCAGCTCAAACCCACCAGCTGCTTCTTGGAAATCCTGTACAGGGTCGCTTTGGGTTGGAACCAACTCCGAGGCCCTTACCAGCCACAGGAGTAGTTATTTCAAAGGTGCTGTGGTGGAACTGTGGGTTAGTCATTGGGCTGCGAACCCCATTGCCAGCAGTTTGGACCCACTAGCTGCTCTCAGGAGGAAGATGAGACAGTCTGCGCCCATAGATTGAGTCTCAGAACCTGTAAGGAGCAGTTTACTTGGTCCTCTAGGTCCCTGTGAGTCGGAATTGACTCTACAGCACTGTGTTATGATTGTTTGATCCTCACAGTCCCCTCTGAGAAAGGAGTTCTGGTAGCATAGTAGATTACCAGTCAGGCTGCTAACCACAAGGCCAGAAGTTCGAATCTCCCAGTCGCTCTGTGGGAGAAAGAGGAGGCTTTCTGCTCCTATAAAAATTTACAGCCTCAGAAATCCTGTACAGGGTTGCTATGAGTCAGAACAGACTCCACGGCACACCACCACCGCCCTCTCAGGAATAAGAGCTAGTGTATTTGCTTTCATCGATAAGGAAACGGAGGCATAGGGGAATTTAGTCATGTGTCCAAGCAGATAGATGGTAAAGCAGAAGAATTCCCTAGTATTTAAAAATAATTTACTTAGAAATCCTTGTCATTTGGATCCATGCATATCACATGTAAGTATTTATTTGGTTCAAACAGTTTAATGAAAACCAACTTTTATTTATTTTAAGGAGATCTGGGAACGAAATGAATCAGCCCCGTACAGTGAAAGAGCTTGAACTTCAGCTGGGAGACAAGGTAAGAGAGACCTTCTTCCTTTAGTTGAAAACCAGGAGCCCTGCTGTCATAGTGGGGTAAGCGTTAGACCACTAACCAGAAGGTTAATGGTTCCAACCCACTAGCCACTCCTCAGGAGAAAGATGAAATGTCTGCTCCCGTCAAGATTTACAGTCTCAGAAGCCTATGGAACAATGGTCTCTATGAGTCTGAACCGACTCATTGGCAGTGGATTTGCAGAGGTAGATGATGCCAAATGAACCCTGGCTTGTCTCTGCGTCCTCCTTCAGTCATGTGACTTGGTCAGTCTGCTCAGAACCGGCGGCGTGGCTTCCGTACTTGGAGGGCGTCTGTTCCGATCAAGGTCTTGGCGTATGAATTCCCTTTGCATTGACTTGAGGTCATCTTCCGGGAGGCTGCCTCTTTCGTTTTTTTGTCGGAGATGGAAGCAGATTTTCCTTTAGGAAGAGAAAACAACTGCTTTTCAGGAGGGGGTGCCGGTCAAGAGCAGGGTGGTAAGAAAGAACAAAGAGCCCGAGCTGAGTGCAGTACGGTCAGATTCAGCCTCAAAGGCTACATACACCATGGTGTGTGTTTAAAAAAAAAAAGCCCTGGGCTCCACTCCTGTCCGCTGGTTACGGGCAGCCTTCATGCAGCTAAGAGGCAGGACAGACAAACACGCCTGCCATTCCAGGGACGGCATTGGGCTCCTTTTTGACAGCTTGTCAGTTACATGAGCAGATTCAGGCTTATGGTCGCTTTTATCCCATTCAATGTGTTGATTCAGAACACTTTCACTTTTTGGAACTCCTCTGAGATTTTTATACATTTCAAACTCAAAAATAGCCTGCAAGCCACAAAATGTGTAAATTGCCTTGTTGGATGTCATTGTTATTGTTAAGTGCTGTCAAGTTGGTTCCAACTCATAGCAACCCTATCTATGGGTTCTGAGGAGGGGCTGATGAGTTTGAACCACCGACCTTGCAATTCAAACCTACCTTGAGGTTGAGTGCTATGCTGTTAACACCAGAAAATCCACCTCATTACAGTCACTCTTTTTAAAGCATCATTGTTGATGTCCATCATGTTGTTGTTAAGTACTGTCAACTCAGTTCCAACTCATAGTGACCCTAATAGGGTTTCCTAAGAGTAACTGGTGGGTTTGAACCGCTGATCTTGCAGTTCAAGCCCACCTCGCAGTCCAGTGCCTTATCCTACAGCATCACACCACGAGTGTCCCAAAGTCAGTTCTGATTCATAGTGACCCTACGTACACCCGAAGGGGAGTCTGTCTGGTCCTATGCCATTCTCACTCTTGTTGTCATGTGTGAGCCCATTGTTACGGCCACTGCGTCCATCCAGCTTGTTAGAGGTCTTCCTCGTGCTGACCCTCCACTTTACCTGGCTTCTAGTTGTTTCTCTCAGTAACAAACCTGACATATTGTTGCTACTTCTGGTATGGTCCATTTACTTTTATGAGGACTATATCATACGATGCTAGTTGCGGTATCTAACTATTACTCAGTTGTGTTCATCAAGACCTTCCTCCAGGATAGTCACGTCTGTCTGGCATTCATCGGATCAATATAAATACTGTTTGGGATCCATAATGTGGCATTATAGGGAGTGTGCAGTGTGTGAGCACAGGCCAGAAATCAGGCCGCGAATGAGCTACATGACCTTTCCTTTAGTTCCCTTTTGGGCTCATGCCTCAGGGAAACTCCCCACTAGTAGGAGTGGATTTAAGGTGCTAGCGGCCGGTGCAGAATGTAATCTTTGGTTGTTTAAATGATTATATATTCCAGAGTGGTTTTGTGTACAATCCTCCGCCCCCCACCCCCCCAAAAAAAGCAACCAAAAAAAACAGAGGGAATAGAAGCAAATGCTGTTGAATGATGATGCATGGAGGAGATTGTAATCATTGCAGTGAAACGAGTGTAAAACCGATGTTCTCCCATGTAAACTATCACTCAATTCACAATAATAATTTAAAAAAAAAAGTGGATTTAAGCTAATGCAGCTTCCATGTAACTGTGAGAACCAAGAAGTGAAGGGAAAAAGCTGGGAAATGGAGACAGCATTAAGTAAGGCTGCATCCCCGCTGTCGCTCAGCATTCTCTCTCTGACCCCTGGCCAGGCAGGCAGGTGGGATGGATGAGTCTGACCTTGAGAGCCCTTCCAATCCGGGTTCTGTCTTGAGGCTCTGCCGTGTGCCAGCCAGCTAGTCTTGGGCAGGTTCTGGTCACTTGGTCTCCCCATTGTCACACTCGCTGTTGTATGGTTTTAGAATAGCGAGTGTACTCTCTCTCAGTCCCAGTTACTGTGATGACAAAGATAAAGATTACAGCGTCCTTTGAAAGTCAGGTGGGAGCACAAATGAATCTCATTCCCCGCACCCGCACAATGAACAACAGCTTGAATACACTCCGCTGCCCTCAGCTGCTGGCAGCAGCCCATCCACTGTGAACCTGTTCCTGCAAAGGCGGGAAAAACCTGGCTCTCCTCACACGGATGTTGTCACTGGCTGGAACCTCAGTCCAGTGCGGGAATGCGAGAATGTGAATTCTTCAACTTTAAGTATGAACCCACACAGTTTATTGGAGCCAAGAGAGAAGGCAAATGACTCTGTGTTTGGGGAATCGGTGTACAGCAAATTCACGAGTGGCCCAGCCTTCCTCACCCCACAGAGCATCCCCAAATGGACCCAACCACGACGCTCGTCTTTCCCAATTGTTTCCATCTGCAGCAAGCCGTGTCCTTGGCTGTGTTCTTGACCATTCTGTCTTCAACCCAAAGACCCTCCAGCGATGGTCACACTCCATATCCTATCCCCACTCAGTATCCCATCCACTCTCCATGAGTAAGGGGAGGCTGGACAGATGGCAGTGGTGGCACTAGGATCAGAGGGGACGTTGGAGCACTGAGGGGGACACTATCAGAGAGGTGACACCAGAAATGACAGTCCATACAGTTTTTGTGCAGTGTTTCAGCAGAAGTGTATTATATTTTAAAATAAAAATATCCCTATAGCTAGTTGTTAACAACAAAGTTATTTTTCATAAATCTGGTTTACGAGTATCAATGTACAGACAAGGTTGATACTCTGTGTTAATTTCCTTTGTGAACCTTCCAATACGCTCTGTTCAGAGCAGTTTCTATCACCCAGTCGCAATGACGCTCTGAATCACGTGATTTCTTGGCAGCTGGCGTTTTTATAGTCACCGATTTTGTCAAGATTTCTGGTGTTTCACAGTGTTTTTGTAATTGGTATTTGTGAACTTACATCAATAACTTTTTTGAGAATTGTGGCGCTGTAGGATCAGTAATGGACTGAGAACCACAAGATTGACGGTTCAAACCCAACCAGCTGCTCGTCGGAAACCCTATACAGGGTTACTATGAGTCAGAACCGACTTGAGGGCCCTTAACAGCAACAGCAGCAAGTAATAAAGGAAAAGACTGAGAGGAATGAAAAACAGCTTCCACTTAGTTACTAGTGATAGTGTAGATAATAATGTTGCAATTCAATGTAGAAAGATTTTATGGATCAATTTTGTTGTTAGTATCGTATAATCTGGAGTCCTGATGTCGGGCTGTGGGATAAAGCACTGAACTGCATGGTCGGTCTGAAGCACATGGTCGGTGGTTCAAACTCATCAGCTGCTCCTTGGAAACCCTATACAGAGTTGCCATGAGTTGGACCAACTGATGGCGCTTAGCAATAACAACATCATATAAGTTAAGAAGTGTTACATTAAAGCAATTTACAGCTTTAAAAAATATTTATCACATGTTGTCCTATGATTAAAATTGATAATAATCATGACTAAGGATTCTGGTATGGGAGGAGGTCCGTGGCGAGGTGGCAGCAGCCCTGGTCCATCACTGCTGGATGACCGCAGGCCCCTCCTCTCCATCATTTGGTCACTGGGCCCATGGACCTCACCTGGGCTCTGTGGGGGAGCACCCTGAAAGCCCAGGTGGCCTAGCTTCCAGCATTGAGGCAGCGTGGGGATTTGTTGAGCTTCTTGTTTGTCATTTCTTTAATTCTCCTCAGTTTCTCTATGCCCAAGAGCACGTTTTAGAGTCTCTTCTGGCATCCTTGTTGGTGTTAATCTTTCCTCCCTGCTGTTTTAACGGTTTCTTCACACATGATGTCCTTGAGCCGTCACACAACTCACCTGGTCTGCCATCATTAGTGCCCAGTGTGTCCAATCTGTCCTTGAGATGGTCTCTGCATCCAGGTGGGATGCATTTAAGATCGTATTTAGGCTCTCGTGCACCTGTTTGATTTTTCTTCATCTTGAGCTTGAACTTGCTCTTGGTTCCTCTGTGAAGCCATTGTTTGGGCTCTCCTCATTTAGTTGTGGTTCTTAAGTTCCCTGCTCTTCAGGTTCCGTGCTCTAGGCTGAGCTACCGTAGTCTCCTAGGAGGCAGCGAGTCTTTGCAGGATTACGCACAGCTGGCTTCTCATCTGGCCCCTCACCTCCTAGAGGGCTTCCAGCAAGTGTCTTACTGTTCTCAGGTTCAGCATCTCTACTATGGAGGCAGCAAAACCTGCCGACCAGAGTGATTACAAGAATGCACAAGAGTCATTTCAGTGAAGGTCCTGGCACCTAATATGGTCACCCAAGATGGTCACTAGTCAGCCCTTCACTGGTTGGTGATGTTGGTTCTCCTTGTGAAGCCTTAGCCAGTGATAGTCTTCATCTGCCACCAGGTGTCACTACCTGCACTGCGGAGGTGTGAGGGTGCTCTCCCTGGAGAGAAACCCAGGACACCCAGGGCTTAACTTGTGTGCCTTCAAGTTAGTTGGGACTCACCCGAGGAGCATCTGGTGGGTTTGAACTGTGGACCTTGCTGTTAGCAGTCCAGTGCTGACCCTTCAGCACACACCAGGGTTGAACTAGTTTGCACAAGAAGGGGCAGAGGCAGTGTGGGTGGAGGCTTGGCTATCCGGGTGGCTCAGTGAGGTCATCAGTTCCCCAGAGCTACACCTTGTCTCGGTTTCAGCCCAATCC